GGGGGGGGGGGGGGGGGGGGGTGTACACGCCCTGGGGACGAATTTCGCAGGCCTAGGCCTAACCCATGGATGGACCCTTAGGCCAATACTACTTTCATGCACACTCCTCAAAGGAAACGGGATGGCAAATAAATAGCTGTTGGCTTGCATACTACAAATACAGTTCGACATTGGCAGTACTTGCCCTAATGGGAATGACTCAGCAAGCTTATATCCAACCCTTGGACGATTGCTCAGGCCTACATTGATCTTTAATATTAGCCATCTTAGCGTTAAAACTCTGAAGTGGCTTATGTTTTGGGATGCGGTGTGCAGAAAAATTCAGACTAATAGAGCGCCGAAGGCGCGACCATAGCGAGTTTGTTTGCCCTTCGGGCAAACAAACTCGCTATGTGAACTATGTAAACTAGTATGTAAACTCGCTATGTAAATTGCTATGTATGTATTGATAATGTTCCGAGTGTAAGTGACGAGGAATTCGGCGTAGAGACCCTGTTCACCGTCATTTTCCAGCCTGTAAGTCTAAATATAATTTCTCAAGGAACACCTCACCGGGTAATTGAATTAATAGGACGGTGTTTGATAAGGAGACGGAAAAACATTCAAGACCAATGGCCGATTATGTTTTTTACAGGCGCGGAGAGGCGCACGAGGTGCTCAACCTCTTGAGGAATGCCATCTAGTGGGGCTGATGAAAATCAATGGGAATCCATTCCACTCCTCAGTAGAGGTTAAAAGAATGAGTTCAGAGCGTTCAACGCGTTTTTATAATATCCTTCCCAACACTCCGTTATTCGGACAGCAGAGACCGTTTGAGATATCATGATTCTCTCCAAGAAGCATCACCATGGGAATGAGGAATTTAGTCGTGTCGCAGAGAAGGATTGCATGTTAAATATTTTTTGTAACGCGGTAGAAAAAAAATTAATGAACAGATTTGAGGTGGAAAATGAGGGACCTGATCCCTTATCCCTCAAGAAAGTCTGTCGAAGGGTCACGAGTCGGAAGCAAAGGTTGTAAATTTTTCGTTTTGTATGGTACCCTGTATCAATAATTTTTTCAACGGCGTCACAATTCGAATTGCTGCCAGAATTTACTAGTTATTACTGATGGAAATTAGGAATGACTTTTCAAATTCATCCAAAAATGATATATATGCTGATCGATAAAAGAACAACACGTCCAAGACAGACTTAAGCGGTACTTGGTACGCTACTGATTGCTCACACTCGCATACTATGAAATTGATTAGAACTTCAATTTTGTGGAGTAAATACTAACGTGATATAATAATGTAATGAGAACGATGAAAGCAAAGAATATTTCAGCCATTCCAATTGGCAAGAGCTTTTGATACGTGAATGAAAATACAGTAAGATGTACCGTATTGACCACTAGATTCTCGACCTCATTACTCACTTGAAAATACAATTAAGTGATAATTGATTTATTGAATCAAATCCCGAAAGCGGTTGAGAAAAAAGCGAGGTCGTTTACAATACCAGGTTTGTTTCATTCTCATTTAACGAATTCTTTTTAAATCGAGGAAGTTCTGAATTCGGGAGGCTCGTATCTGAGTCCAGCTGCCTTTTTTCTCACATCTAAGTGAAGTGACAAGAATGGATGATCGGGGAACCGTCATTGCCCGTCGACGATCCAACTGGCTAAAGTTGAGGTACTGAGATTGGGGTTCTGAATGAGTTCATGTATGTACATGAGGCGCACAGGAGGCATATGCATTCGGCGTAACCTTCTTCTCGTTATTTCATATCAGCATATCAGAGAGGTCATGACCAGAAAGTGATACGAGTGGTTTAACGAAGTGGGAATCACGACTAACGCGACGAAACCGGACAGGGTTATTCGGACTCGGACTGTCCGCACACCCTCGCTCCAAGATTTCCTCCTTATTTCTAAGCGTTCCTCGTGGTTACAATCTGAAGGGAACAGAATTTGGCTCAGGGGTCAAATGAGGATCCTGAGACTCAAAAGACCCTTGCTCTTTGCTCTCGTGTTTTCCTTCTCGTATGAAACGCCTTCGGCAACCGGGATTGCTGACCTGCTGACCAATTTTTGGCTTTTGGCCATGAGAAAGCCTATTCCCGATCCAACGAAGCATGCGGAGAACAAGATGGTGTTTTATGTTTGGGAAGTAGTAGAAGGGAATCGGCAGAATGGAGGGTAGTACCATGTGTTTCATTTCCACATTTACTAAAATAAGTAGCGCTTACGTATTCATTACGGATGAATGTGTTTTTTATTTGGCGCGACATCGTCTTCAGTGAGAGGGAGCCACTTGGGTAATTATTTGGTATCATTCAGACTAAGTGCAATGTTCTGATCAACTGCTCCAATATATTTATCTGCAAAAATTCTGCTATGTAGTTCAAAAGAGAGCTACTGTGAAATAAAAAAATTTCACCTCAAGGAAGATCTTGCCATACAATACTAATCCTTTTATTGTCACGGGAACTATACTATATACTATACTATACTATGAAAGGCATATCAATCGAATGACTGTTGCTTCATAATCTAAACCATAAACTGCTCATCAGTTGCATCTCAACATCGTTCAATTCATATCATATCATTCAATTATCAATGCCAATAAGTGGCCTTTCTGAGTAGGAGCGATGCTCGCGTGGAATGAAATCTAAAATGAAAAATTTCCAATCAAATCCTCAGCTTCACCTACTGTGGCTCGAGGAAGAGAGTTCACAGACTCCGTTACCTCCTCCAGCCATACCAGGCGTAAGCCCCTGGAATTTCTTTCATGGACTCTAGCTCCCTCAAATTGACTCAATAGCGCTCGTTATTCTGATCTGGCTGCTTATTCTTTTTGTGAAATTTTATTATTTTTATTATTTTTTTTATTTCCTTTTGTCAGAGTCTTGGTCGAGCGTTCGTAGCATGAAAGTAGTATTGGCCTAAGGGTCCATCCATGGGTTAGGCCTAGGCCTGCGAAATTCGTCCCCAGGGCGTGTACACCCCCCCCCCCCCNTATAATACGAAATTGCTTCATTATTGTGGAAGTGGAAGGCAAGCTTCACATCAAGGGCTCACTTGGTGTCTTCTATGGCATTGCACTTTAAAATTCATGGTTATTTGTCATTTTCAAGACATTATTAAGGGAAAGTTTCACCATACATTCGAAGTCTTATTTCGCACATTGAAATAATCACAATTGGGCTCAGGTCGTAAAGGGGGCGATTTATTAAAGTTTAAAGCATTCCCATTTCGATATGCTATGAGTTTTCCCACACGGAAAAAAACCCTTTTTGCAAATTCTTAAGGAGTACATACGTAAAAATATTCCACTGTAGACACAACGCACGAGAAATCTATTCTGCAAATAAATCCGATGAATCAATATTGTTGGAATTTTGATACTTCCATTATAAATAGAGTAGCACTGAATCGATGCTAATTCAATGTGGGTTTATAAACGGTTACCGTCGTCGAATGAATATTGACGTAATGGAGGGTTCAAACCGTCACTATTGATACAATCAATCCACACCTTTTCAACTTTGAATCAATGATCGGGGCTTCCTGGGAGCACTACAAATGAAAACGCGAAAAAAGTTATGGGAAGTATGGAATTGCAACCCTGAATAAATTCTTGATAAAATTCATACAAAAATTGATAAGTATTTGAGAGCCTCATTGGACTTTTTTCATATATCAGAGACAGGTATTGGCAGACGCATGACATCAATCATCTGGATTCTTCTTCAGTGGTACAAACACGAATAACCCATATGTGATTATTTCAATGTGCGAAATAAGACTTCGAATGTATGGTGAAACTTTCCCTTAATAATGTCTTGAAAATGACAAATAACCATGAATTTTAAAGTGCAATGCCATAGAAGACACCAAGTGAGCCCTTGATGTGAAGCTTGCCTTCCACTTCCACAATAATGAAGCAATTTCGTATTATATTTAAAAGTGAATTTCTGCAGCTAAATCTTTGAATCCCAATGTAGAAGTTCCTTTTTAATGAGACCATTCAAGGGAAAGCACAAAGGAGGATGCCAAATATAATGTTACTTTGGCACTTAAACCGAATTCAATGAACTCAAGGGCATCCTCCTTAGGCACTTGGAATATCAAAATTCACTGCTGGTGACGTGTCGGAGATTCAGGCGTTGATAATACCAGCAACCCAGGAGGAGAATGTTGAGGTTCTGGTGCTAGCAGCAAAATCAAATCCACACGTTGCATTTGGTGATATTGGCCACTTATAGGAAGGAATTGCAGTCACGAAAACGCGATCGCCATATCGTACCGCCATTGGTCCACCACCATCACCCTACATGATATAGGCCAATATGTGAAAGGAGAAGAAAGAGATGGTAAACATCAATAATATGCCATGCCAAGAACACATTAATCAGATATTCTTTCAAACGAATTGAAACTAATTAGGATTACCGCATGCCGCATTTGTTCATACCACCTGGGCAATTACCTTAGACAGGCACTTCAAATTTCATTAAAATGTCAAAAACGGTGTAACAATATATAAATGAGTTTTCGCCATCATAAAATTTAAGACTTAAGTTTTTATTTATGCAACGACTCGTTCGTGCTTCAATGGCTTTAAGCAGTGCGAAGTCTTGCTTGCATGGCATTTTAAGTCGTATTTTTCGTCAAGCATCTGCTCCATCGGGCATATTTGTATTTCGAAGAAAGTCCGTATCTAGTGTGATCGATTTGAATAAAGCGTTCCTCCTTTTATATTGCCAAATAATTTGGACTTAACTACTCTGGGTGATATGGGCACCTCCTAAATGGGTGGTTTGGTCATTCGATTTTTTATTCTTTCATATTAGGGCAGACGCAAGCAAAGTTTTAGAATGACCCCGAGAAGGAAATAAGAGATATCTGCATTTTTTTTACATACTTAGTTATCAAGATTGAAATTGCCGAGTTGAACAGGAATGCTTAATCTGCCGGAAATTAGAACTATATGGTAGTACGGGGTGTCACAAGGAATCATAACAGTTTGATTTTTTAATAACTTTCTTATTTCTGCACCGATTCTGAGCTTGTTTATATGTAATTTCTGGATCATTTCAAAAGAATTTTCTGACACCTATTTAAGCGTGAACGGTCATGAATACGTGAACTTACGGCAGTCCTCGAAAACACCCATTTTCCGCAGTTGCTCTTAATTTTCAGCCGCTTGATTGCGTGTGGTAATGTGTGCCAATTTCGTGTACCTTCTCTCAGCGTTAAGAAGTATGGAATACGTTTTGGAAAGAGCCAACATATGAGCTTCCAGGCGGAATTTCACAATAGGAGATGCCCAAGTCGATCGGCGATGATCGTTCGTCAAAGTTGTTTGAAAGCGCGTTTTCGTATGCATGGTGGCGCGAATCGACGCCATTTGTCACGCCGAAACCTCGTTCTTCGTGAGTCTCATCATGGGTCATATCAGAATAAGCTGACGAATCTGGTCTTGACCTTCAAGGGCCATTCGCATTTCAGTACAAGGTTTTTTTATTCGAAACTTACCATATATTTTTTTTTAGAGTACGGAAACCGTCATAATTCTTTTTTTTTTCACCCGTTTGAGGTCATCGAGGTGCCAGCTAAATTCTCTCAAAACACTCTACAAAAGTTATAGAAGTGATAATAATCGGTGCAAATTTTAAAAAGTTATTAGAAAAAGTTAAAAAGTTACGATTGGTTGGGATATCTTGTATATTTTCCCTTTGACATTGGGGAACCAATATTCAGAGTTTTTCTTAGTAAGCTGTTCCATAACATTCTTAAAACCCCCTTGGCGAAGCATGTATCCCATTATTTACTGCTTGCTTACAGTAGCTACCTAACTTCAAGTTTCACTGACCAGGTGAATAATAAGTCGGACTATCGCACAGGGTATGGCATAGGAAAAGGACAGGTTTGAGCATATCTAGCGTCCTGGGGCTTGAGTCGCATATATGTAGGGTTAAGGCAACCTTTCAACGAACAAGTCCATTTACATAGTTTTGGTAGGTTATGGGGGCATGACGCATCGAAAGGAATACCACTTAATCCTGGTATCAAGTGGCAGCCAAGATAATATGATTTTCATGGTTCTTACGTTGCAGAGTGAACTGGATGGAGGTTCTCCTTTGATGCATATAACTCTACCATCGGTTAAGTTGGTACAAGCCGTGGTGGACTCGGTAAGAGTGACATCCAGTTTCTGCAAAATATCAATTGGAGATGAAACGTTTGGATATCTGTAGCCCCAGCCGTAGAATTTCCGGTCGCATGCAGAAATGGCCGATCCCAGAACGTCGTCTGATTCTGGATAGCAGATCGGCTGAATGGAGTCGCTGAAGGTCAAAGGGGTGGACAGATGAATAAGAGCGATGTCATATCCATTGAAGAAGCCGCCTGGAAATTACGAACAAAAGGTCCTATGAGCACTTCTTCATACGAATAATCACTCCATATACACTGCTCATGTACAGAGTTATCATGAAGGTGAACACCCAGTTTTGATTAGCTATAACTTTTCAAGGTAAAGTCAGACTTAGCTGATACTTGGCAAAGAGATTCATGAGTCAATTAATTTTTTTCCCATGCCACAAGATAGCGCTATATGCCGAAAGAAGACGCTTATGTCGACCGCAGCGCCACCTATTTACTTGGCATGTCAATTTTTAGCCATGAGAAAAAAAAAACGTTTAGACCCATGAATCTCCCTGTCAAATATCAGCTGCAAAAGAAAGTGAAAACTCAAGGGTGTCTCAACATTGAGGGTTGCCATACGAAACGTTTCCCGCTCGTTCGTCCAAATTTCACCGCTTTTCACCCATAATCTTTACCCAATGGGTCCTCCGACTGGTTGATAGAGGAGAAAAACGTTTTTTTTCCTCTTTTTTTCATACGAACATTTCACACATCTTCAGAAGTTTTATAAATTCATGAGCTTATATAAACACCAAATAAAACCTGCTTTGTCGTATGCTTCAGCATGTGGCCCTAAGAAACCGCTTTCGACCCCTCTGCTAAATAAAAAGTTTTTTGTTTGCTGTCATGAGATTCCGAATTATGAACAAAAAATTGAATATACTTTATGTGTAAATACATCATCTGAAAGCTTAGCCAATCTTTTATCAAATGCCACAAACCCACATTAAAACGTATGCCATGAGTGCAATTAAGTGTATTTATGAAAACAGTTTCTTATATTTTGGCCCATCCTGCAATTACTAATACTACCTATAACTTGAGGCAACCCCCATCAAACGCAAATATCAAAGTCAGACCCCCTTCATTAACTAAAAATTCCGAAATGCGTTTTAGAAAGTCGAAATTCCAAAAGTTTTCATGTCTATTGAAGAGCATGTATTGTTAAGAAGTTGTAGACGAGGTCATAAATAAAATTTAAGAAGTAAATAGCTTATTCATATTAACGCTCCATTTAATTAGGGTATATGGAAAATAGCCTTCTCTCACCTGGAATCCAATTAGGGTGAATCCTCCAATAGTCAGCTGGAATGAGAGTTCCACCGGATGAGAGGTTTGCAGTGCCCACCATGACATCCACAGCCAATGTCGATACGCTAAATACAAGAAAATGCCAATGGACGTTTCTGTACTTTAAAAAGTATCTCAAAAGCCTTAGTGGTTTTGCTGAAAGGACGAAATTATTTCGGAAAGGTGAGGATTGTGTCGCAAAATATTGTATTATGTATTTATGAAATCGGACAAACCACTTACGGAAGGTATTTGCGTTGTTAGTTACCCTTTCTGAAATTTAAAGCGCTGCATTTTGGTGAGTGACAAAGGAGGACCCAAAAAAAGCTCTTTTCTGGCTTTCGTACGTGAAATCTAGGTGCACAAGTTAGACTGCAGTATGATCCCATTCGAAATAGTTCGCTTAGCCTGAGAGACACTTTTCATTACGTTGGTAAAAAGCTTGGAACACAGACTATAAGCCATTCTTGTTAACGACCGGCAACACTATGGTCTCAACTGATTGGAGAGCGTTTGTGTCAGAGAAGCTGCGAACTTCAAAAAGGAACTTCATTAGGAAAGCAGCGTGGAGTGACAATTCGTGACGTCCAGTGGATAGAAAGCAAGTGGGAGCAAGGTCACCCCATGATTGGTTATTTACATGGTACTGCTTTAGTACTGATAATTACTAGTATTGCCGTTACTGCAGACGAAGGGAGGGTTTCTGGTCTGGAAGGGTCTGCACTGTTTCCTCATTTCGACTTTAACGATGGCAATGGCATGAATTTCTGATTGTCTTCTCAGAGAAGTTCAGGACAGGTTTGCCATTGTGACTATTGACAAAGACAAACGATTTTGCAGTTGAGTTCTGCGAAGAGAAAATTTTGAGAAACCCAATATTTCAATGAAAATCTTTCACTCCACGACTCGAACAGCTTTCTGATGAATGCAACATCTTCATATTCAGCTCGATTAATATAAGGACCTGCTCGAGAAAGAACTGCTTGAAATTCCTTGGCGTTTCATGAGATCTGAACGGTTCGAAAGAGCCCGCAATGGAAAGAAGGAACTATTATTCTTTCCAAAGGAAATGGGACATGCAATACTTGTTCTCTTGCTTGTCCGTCAAAGCAGGCTTCTTGAACGTAGGAGTTGTGGATAAAATCCGGACAGGCAAATGGGAAGAAAGGAGGGGGGGATCCGTACATTCGGATATACCCGACATAATATTCCATTGATTGTGCAAAGAATGTGAATTACTTCATGGAACTCAAGTAACAACTATGCTATTGCTTAACTTCATTGCTACATTGGCAAAAGGTTGAAGCGGTGAAGTTTAAAATGCATATCATCGCTCCTATAAAAAGAGATTCAGTGAAGATCGCGCTTAACTCTTAAATGCAAGATAACTTCAGGTAGGATGGAAGTTTCAGTACTATGACTGAGTTGCCACTACACCTCTGTACCAGACTATCCCAGAGAAGGGAAGGTAGTACCGTCAACTAAACTAATCGGCTACATATTGGACTCTCATCCCAACCACAGGAGCAGGCCTCCGCTTGGACTGAATGCAATTTAAGTGATGAAAAGAACGTATCCAAAACGCTATTGCATATTGAATAAATCCTGAAAAAGAACGTTAAATTGAACCCTTTTCGTGTAAATATCCAATTCACTTCCTTGATAAATTCAGGTAGATCGGGGAATGCATAATTCGAACCTTGCTCTAAATGTCGGACACTAAAGCAGTCAATAGAACTTTCCTGGAGACATTTATGGAACACTGACGATAACTTAAATGATATGTTCATTGGACACGTTCGGGTGCTACTCGGGTGGTAGATACTGAAAATCAAGGTGACTCCTCTCACAACAGAGCATTGTCTTTCCTTCGGTTTGCAGCAGCTTTACCCGTCACTAGTTCAATACCAAATTGATGGCTTGAATTGGTCACCAACATAGGTTTATACCTGAATCCTCATGAATTTATAGAAATATATTGCTCAATGAATCCACCAAACCCACTTTATTTACGTACGTAAGAAAATCGGACTGCGCCGTGTAAGTTTGTGAATGTACTTTTAATGTGTTAAACATCGCCTTCTCATCCCTGCACATATCATTTATTCATAATTCATTGCTTCCCTCTCACATGCTCTCTACCCTTGAATAATAATAAATTAATGCCAGAATTGCACTCTAGGAAACTGTTGTGGAAGTAATGTGAATCGAATAAACTCCATAACTCTTACGAAGAACTTGCAAGTAAGCAATATTGCAAGAATTTATGGATGAGTAAACTATATATTATAATTGGACTCACTTGGGTACAGGACTGAGGCAGCTGGCAAGGGTGAGGATCCATCGTTCATTCAAGATGGAGGCACTACATTGAGGCGCAGTATAGTTTATAAAATAATTTTTCGCAAAGATAAATGCCACGAAAGGGGCTTCTGTGATTGTTGCTGGAGCGCCGTTTATAATCAAGGGAATTGGTTCTGTTCTCACTTGCAAACGCATACTTCCACTCGCAAATGCAAGTAATCCGTTCCAGAATCGGTAGAGCCACGCTTTTGCAGTGCTTGGTGCACTTGGAGTACTCGGGGTGCTTGAGGTACTAGGTGTATTTGAGGTGCTTGGGGTGCCAGGAGTACTTGAAGTGCTTGGGGTGCCAGGAGTACTTGAGGTGCTTGGGGTGCCAGGAGTACTTGAGGTGCTTGGGGTGCCAGGGGTACTTGAGGTGCTTGGGGTGCCAGGGGTACTTGGGGTGCTTGGGATGTCAGGGGTACTCGGGGTGCTTGAGGTACTAGGTGTACTTGAGGTGCTTGGGGTGCCAGGAGTACTTGAGGTGCTTGGGGTGCCAGGGGTACTTGAGGTGCTTGGGGTGCCAGGGGTACTTGAGGTGCTTGGGGTGCTTGAGGTGCTAGGTGTATTTGAGGTGCTTGGGGTGCCAGGAGTACTTGAGGTGCTTAGGGTGCCAGGAGTACTTGAGGTGCTTGGGGTGCCAGGAGTACTTGAGGTGCTTGGGGTGCCAGGAGTACTTGAAGTGCTTGGAGAGCCAAAAATCTGTCCACAACCTTGAGTTTCTGGAACGATCGAAATTAAAATGAAAATGTAAACGTTTTTTTTTTATCATGAACGAATTATTTGCCTTTGGGCATAAATACTAACTATGATCGCACCTTCTGCGAATGAATTTCTGGGAAAATCGTTGTAGATCCGTATTTGGAGGATATGCCTTCAATGGTTGCGGTGAAATTTATTGGGTTTTGGTGATTCGGAGTAAGTGCGATTGTGATGATGGGATAAGCGTGATCAGTCCTAATTGTTTGGTATTTCCAAGAGTAATATACCATCAATGAAGTATGCACTAAGAAGTACTCTGCCATGTTAATCCAGATTAGTAAATCTCGTCAAATTTCATTGGATCAACTGAGAGATATTTCATTGAATATGAGAGTATACTCTTTCAATTTTAGTACTTAATTCGGCGCACCTCATTCAACTTTCCTTATAAGATAAGTACTGCATATTACAATTCCATGTTATGTATAATGGCAGGTAGAGGGTGGGCTAAAAAAAAAGCCCCAAATTTGAAGCTTAATAACTTGGCCCCTATTGGGCCAATATCAGTTTTCAAAAAAGCAAAATGAAGCTTGTTCAATTTTATTTCGAATAATATATCCCTTTTGGTGTTTGTTTCAGAGAAACGAAAAATTTTCCTGAAAACAGCTTCCCTGAGTTCTTTCCAATGTCATGCTGCTGCTGTCACCTGTTTCACCTTCGCACCCCCTTCTCCCACGCGCCCCTGCATGATACAGATTGGTTGCTGAGGGATCATGTGATCATGAGGCGAGTAACATGAGGCTGCTTTAGATTGTGGAGGAGGGCACATTGAACCATTTTTAGGTCATTAAAAGGGTCTGTGTGCGTTTGAGTGATAAATTCGAGATTGGGGAAAAGAAACTTAGAGTAAAAGCCATTTTCAGGGAAATGTTGTCACTTTTTTAAAACTGTAATAGCGGCTATTTCTCTGAAGCAAACCCCCAAAATAATATATCATTTGAAAGAAAATTGAACAAGCTTCATTTTGCTTCTCTGAAAATTGATATTGGCCCAACGGGGCCAAAGTTATTGAACTTCAAATTTGGGACGGTTTTTTTGGCCCACCCTGTAGATTCAATGCTCCGTCTAACTAGTGCCTTTCGGAGTTCCAACTCATGCTAAGCTTGGACACAGTAAGACTGACTGACTAACACTTACCCCGTAAAATTGGGCGCTGGGGTAAGTGTGATCATGCGTATTATGCTTCTCTCCAGTCTTCACATCTTGTTCACTCAGAGCCTTAAAACTCAACTTCGGTCCCTGAAGCTGAAGCGTTTTGCTAAAAGTTCATTGTCTGATTGACACATTGTGTCAGTCAGACCATGTCTGATTGCCACAATATATCAATCAGACAAGGAACTTCTAGTTTTAAAAATTCATGGAATGGTCTTCAACCTATCTTCACTGGGTTTCGAACTTTGACTACGTCTGAATTATTTGAAAGCATATAGTGTAGCTTGTATTATATAAAGGTCTTAGAACTTGCAACGCTTCCGTCAAGTTGACCTATTCCAGTTAATGAATAGGTAGTTGGAGATTTCCATGATCCCGAATAGTGACAATATTTTAACTAGCTGCAAGAGGCTGAGGTTAACTGTGACCGCTAAAATAAATCTACTTTCAAGAGAAAATGCATACATTTCTGACCATATAAAAAATGCAAATGGGAGAGATAGGTCTGTTAGCAAACATAAAGCAAATGCAATGGTTGCTGCTAATATCTGCTAAGTCCCCAAACCAATACCTTTTCCGCTCATTTATGCGGTAGTTTAATTACATATTTTTTATATGGATAAAGCAAGTATCATGTGATCATCAGAAAAAAATTAGCATAGAAATACTGTTTAATTTCTCTAGAATGTGACTGCCGCTTCATCAGTACTAAATGGCCGAAGCAATTTTATATGATGATCGCATTTTCCCTGTTCCAAATCATGGTTTCCCTAATGGGGTATCGGCATAGATATGATCACTGATATGGCTCATGTAATAGAAAATGCATGCAAGTCTCGAGTAGTGGTCTACGTGTCTAATGCACTCAAAAGTGAATTTTGTAAGCCAGAAATTTTATATTAATCAATACAATACAATATGCAATCAAGAATGTCTGCGTGCTTGACCTGCATTGCATATCCAGGTGAACTCCATTGCTGTGACTGAGAGATACATGAGATACCCTTACATGAGATACTGAGAGATACCCTTCCTTTATTTCCCTGGTGTACTTCGATTCCCCTCGAAGCCTTTGGTTTTTCCAGTCATGTTTTTTTCCCCCATGGGTCCATTCATGACGCTCATACTCATTTCCTTCCAGTCATTTGTGCTTATATTTCTTTTCTCATTTCCTCATTTAAAAATTCGAGGCTATTTAAATGCTAATATGTTTTTCTACTCATTTTGCATCATCTCAAGGAACTGCTTTTCTCCTCTGCCCTCTCCCACATGCTCTCTTTCTCGGTTGTCACTATTGGTTACCCCTGTTTTTTCTCGTTTGGATTTATGTGTATATGGATAGATCTATGTGAGGAGACTGCGGTGATTACTTATTCGTGGTGCCCATGTGATAACGAACTGAGGAATCATATTTCATGGTGGACGTGAAAATCAATGGATTTTAAGCGTTAATGGCAGTGCCTTGCAGCAGGCGAGATGTGAGCGATGCCACCGTCCCCTTGCGAGTACAACAGCAACTCACGTCTCCTAGTTCATCTAAGAGATGGCGAGACGAGAGCCAAGCTCAGATTTTCCATGAAAGTTGCCTCTCCTCCCTTGCCGATTTGCAAATTTGATTTTAAAAAGGCACATCTTCGGATGATAAGGAAGCGTTCCCCAGAGAAACCCCAAGTTCATACTGTGTTTCGAAGCGTTTGGACTGTGGAGTTGTCACACACACAAGCACAATTGTCGCTCGGCCCGACTATCGGTCAAGATGGAACAAGCTATATGTTAAAGCATTTAACTCTGGAATTTCCAAAGCTGTGGGTGCGCTCTGACTTGGGCCAGAATCGGATTGAAAGCGATACTGCCCACGGAGCTATCACGAGCATACTCGGGCGTGGGATTCAAAATGTTATCCTCCGGTCCTCTAGTTTCAATAAGGAACATTTTTTCTCTCAGTACACTAGGCAAGGAGTGCCTAAAGCAGAGACATGGTAAATACACCTGGACAGGCCAATGGAGAACGCCCCGTAGCCGCACGCCGATTAGAATGGTCGGCCAGCATCGCTCATCGCCCAATAAACGTATACGTTTCCGCTTCATCACGTCACACTCCACTGTGAGTTTTGACGAAGAATGGTATTTTGATACTTGATTAATGCTAACTTTTCCGTCTTTCAGGAGTAGAAATCGTCTTTATTTTCATCGCACTTAATGTGAGGGTGCAATATCAGTTTCCCATGCAGTTAGGCCCAATGTCTACATGGCCCAAAGAAAAATTCGTCACACTGAGGTTAGACCCCGCTAAAGGGTCAATAGCTATCAAGCCCGAATCATCATTGTAAGACGCGTTGAACCTGAACCGACCCAGTCAGCGGTCTTTCATAGCATCTCAATCCTGAACACATTGGCCACGACTACCGTGAGCCTCAGTGAATACCACGCCTCATCGTCTCCTTGATGCCATCAGCATTGGCAACCATCCCTTCAAATCGGCGAGAGACCTTCGACCGAAAAGTCCAGTCTAGGTATATTTACCATGTCTCTGGCCTAATGTCTCCTTTAGTCGGGTTTCCTCGATCGAAAACTATATTAATTTCGTCTACTTTCTTCTTTTAGCTTTTACGTGAAAAAATATGGAATGCAGAATGGAAAGAACTGCATCAAAATCGAGCAGAATTGAGGACTCTAGCTAGGTACAACGGCGAGTTTAGAGCGATCTCACTAGTACTGAATATTTTAAAAACTTTATTTCCATCGAAAGGAATGACCAGACGTCTGACCATGTGGAAGCCCTTCGTCCGTCATATACATATGTTGACGGGAATACCATTATATGATTATTGCAACGTTGCATTTTCCTTTTACGAAACAGCACAGCAACACTTTTGCATTGTATGGGGAAAAGCATGAAAATGCAGATTCAAAGATGCAGTGACGAATAAAATGCAATTAATAATCGAAGCTGAGGACCAACCAATATATCGTCTCTTGGATAGAGCGCCTCCGTGTTCAACTTCAGGAAGGACCTTCCGATTCTGATGAATTCGGACCTTTAATTTTGCATAACTACCTGCATTACATTTTATGCGTTGAGTACTACTGCTGCAAAGCATACAAGGCATTTCACAACATTAAATACCAAACTGCAATGGATTTTTTTATCGCTTAAAAAAAGTGGAATATCCTCTTTTCCCTGAATAAGAAATAATCGATTGGCTTTGGTAGCGCCTAATACCTTTCTTCAACCCATTCCCGTAGCGAAATACAACCTCCTCACATTCCTCTGAGAGTATCGACAGCAATAAAATTTGACATTCTTCTTCCTCTCGCAACACAGAATAGCACCAGCAAATTTGAAGCTACATTTCCCAGGGTTGTGGAGAACACTGAATCTCGTTTTTGGAAGATGTGAATTTCATTCCAGTTTTTTTTTTCTCCCCTTCCCCCCTGGTAGCCACTCCTGGAGCGTTTTCGGAGGAAAAAGACCAACCATAAGAAATATATTGACTCGTAGATAACGAAAAGTGTCCCTTTTCTTCTTTGCGATGCACATTTTCTCCATGAAAATGCGAAATGAGCAGTCGTTCAATTAGGCTCAGAGTGCTGGCTCTGGTACCGTCCCCCAGTGTTGCCGGATGTTGTGCCGAAGTTATGCCAGATTCAAGACTACGTCAACCTTCGTATCGGCGCCTGGCACTTAATTTTTAATGTATGAGACAATTTTGTGCTGATTTCATGAGATGAGCCGAGATCGAAGCGGTGGTTAGCAGAGATTGATCGATGTTGTGGGATATGGAGATGTCCTATCCTGACATCTCCGAAGGAACGCCAAATAGGCCTAGGGTTCCACGTCTCACTCTAATGGTTCATGAAACGCGAGGCTGATGTTACATTTGCTCCCTGAAGTGGTTCGTGAACGTATGAATAGGCCTGAGATTGGCCTAAAGTTAAATATCCTCAGCGAGATGTCTTGGAAGACTACGGATTCACCTCATCGGTTAATTGACCGCGTAAGTGAAGATTTGAGTTTTTATTGAAAGAAAAAATATAGGCCTTGGCCTAACGTTAGTGAATCCCGAAAGGAATAGGAGGGGGGATTGAAGAAAGGGAAAGCCGTTGAAAATTGATTTTCACATTATTTTATCTGACTTTTACCGACAATATGACGGGGAACGGACTCACTTTGAATAGGAGTAGGAGCAGGTGGACAACTTTGTTGAAGACTTCCCTCAAGAAGGAGAAGAACGACGAAAAGCGGAAAGCTACAGGTGCCGAGAGCCTCCATCCTCGCACAAAGTAGTGGAAACTAGAACTGAACGAAGCCCGACAAATATTTCCTTCTTTTCCGGAGAAACACCTGAGCGAGCGAGGAAAATACGGATGTAGAAATTCCGAAGCGGAGGGAGTTTCTCGGTACTGTTTGCGGATAAACCGCGCTGACTCTACGTCGCACACGTGCCAGGATATCGCCGGATGAATGATCATGATGAAAGTCAAGGGTTGCGAACACCAGGGAAAAATTCTTTATATCCGCGTTTCTTCTCTATTCATTTCTTCTTTCTTGTATCAGGCTGCAGTACTGCACTTTTCAAAGAATGTTCTGTAAATGCAAAATTATATTATTTGCCCTATTGTTCCCTTGTTGAATAAGTAAATAAATAAATAAATATTAAATGTAAAATAAAATAAAATAAACTATAAAAATATATGTTAGAACGTAGAGGTAGATAAGTTGGCCTAATTTATGTTTAATTTTAATTTTATATTTTATTTATATTATTTATTTATTATTCATTATTTATTATTCATTATTTATCATTATTCAATTTTATATTATTATTTATTCATAATAAAAACCCAAATCGGCAATGGAAACTGCTCTCATTCGAGGCGAGTAAATGGATTGAATGAACTAAAAACAGTGAGGCCTTCCCATCCAGAGCCACCCAAGGCAACGGACTGGCAATGACCTTCTCCTAGCCTAGAAGAAAAGGACCATGTAACGAATATCCCAACTATGGCGAAAACAGCCTGCAGGTACGGGGCAAGGCTCAAGGAACTAAAAAAAAAGAGAAAGGAGAGCAGAAGATGCTATCCCAGAAATTTGTCAGGCGGCCTGCGTCTTCAGAGGGCTGAGGACACAAGTCCGACTCACAAACCCTATCTAGCGAGTTTCTGCCGTCAGGTGCTTCAAGAACATTCGGTGGGAAGTCAGCCGAATAAATATGCGAAATGAATGCGAATGAGTACAGGAGGGATTCTTACGATTCTCTCCGAATGAAAGTTATGCATTGCGTAGAATCATGTGGATTGAGAATACCTCAGATATGAATGACGTTTCATAATCATATTTTTCGTTTCCCTCGCATAAAAATGAAATCAGTCAGACAAACTGAATCCCTTCATCGCAAGAGCTCAAAGCGAATCGGTCGAGATTCCCCCCGGGAGCAAGGAAAGGTACCCTCACGCGATCAATAATGCAGCTTTCAATGCATGGGTTGTTTCGCTGGGCTGGCATCCGACCATTTTCTGCACCTGCCTGTCGATAATCCGGCCTGAAAAAAAAAGTATAAAATAAATAAATTCATTTTAGGATTTTTGCTCAGTTTGTAGCAATGAGAATCGAAAAGGGATGCTTCAAATGTATTATTATTCTTTATAGAGCGAACCGCGCCGAAGGCGCGTTCATAGAGAGCTTTCCCGAAGTGCAAACAAAATCCCAAGTATAATAAAACAGTTGTTTGTCTGTCTGTCCGGAATCTCCTCCTCTCCCGCTCATCGCATCCGAGCAAATCCGGTATCGATGGAAAGCTTGAAACCACGGAAAGTTACTGATTTCATTTTTGTCGCCTTGCGGGTAAAACTGGATGAGTTATGATACAGCGGCGGGGCGAAGTTAGGAGCTCGGTGGTTGCGCGTCGGGCTCACGTGACGGGGGACCACGGTTCGAAACCCGGCCGAGTTC